GGGTGGGGGGGTTAAAGCTAATGGTGCTCGATTGCTATCCCAGTTCTAGAAAAATGCAAAAACAGCACACCCAATGTTCTCTGAGTCTGTGATCTTGCATGGCGGGTGACAAGCAAGCTGGGTTTTCCTAACTGGGAGATGATACAACAGCAACAACCTGTTCTCCTGATCTTTTGTCAGGTTTCCAGGTCATTCAACATGAGAAAGTAGAGACATTCTGGATTTCACACCCCCACATTAAAGCAATATACAGCATGCTTTCTCTTCCATGAACTCATGGGCACTGCATTGCCCACACGCTGCAGAGGCCCAGCACAGAGAGTTCTCAACTGTTACTTCTGCCAACAGTTGCAAGTAGGGGCTTGCACTTTCTCAACCCAGAGGTTCTGCTAGATGTTACATTTTGTAACAGGAATTAATAAGAAAATCTTACAAACCTAGGTGCACCTGTTTTATGTATTCAACCAGCGAGGCTTTGTTAGACTCCCAGAAGAGCGGAAGCTTCTCCTCGCGAGGGTATTTACAGCACGACAGCTCCAACGTAATTTCAAAGCACTGCGCCCAGATGTAGTTATAATCTTGCATCCCACCTAAACACAAGCATATTTAATATTTTTTAAGGTCTGAAACTGGAGTGGAGCCAAGCGTCCCATACCTTGAGGACAAGTGAATCAGACAGTTGCACGGAAAATACATGTAAACAGGAAAAGATGAATTTGACATATTAGCATATAAAATCAGGGCCTGACAATTTATTACCCAGGCATGACCGGGCAGCCCTAAATATTCCCATATGGGTAACTAGATCACAGCTTACTGAAGTTCAACTGTGCATAAAATTAAGTGAGGGGGTAGGAGAAGGGTCCTATTTTGTAATCATACATTGCAAAAAAGGATTCTTCAAATTACATTCCTCTCCTAAATTATATTTTAAACAGATGTACACTACAGTGAGATTGCTTTAAAAAATATTCCTACAAACCACTTATAAATACATTTATTATGTAACGCTAAGTCCGCTGATTTGGAGGAATAATCATGGCCAGCGTTTACTGCGTATTTGCTCTTGCTAGGCACTATTTGAAGAGCTTTGTATCGGCTCACTTAATCTCACAGCAGTTATTACCCATACGTTACAGACGAGGAAACAATCACAGGTGGCGAGTGACATGCTCAGGGATTCCAGCCAGGGGATGACAGACCGGAGCACAGGCTCCTGCTGGAGCCCCATGACAGCAAACTGCTTCTGGGCCGGAAAAACGGGGCTGTGCTCACTCTCGGGAGGGGAGGGCCCTGGGTCGCTGCTGCTTCGGGGGTGGCCGGCACCCACGCCTGCCGTCCAGCCCTTCCCTCCGGAGAGCCTGTTTTCAAAGGGTTCTAATCATATTTCATATTTTCTAAGGTGTAAAACTTTTCATGTTTTAAAACCTCTGAATTGCAATGCGTCTTAAATTTGATGGCTGGAAAACACTGTCATTAGTCTGGCTGGAAATCTTTTCCTTTCGTTCTCGGTAGTGCATTGTAGTTTACAATCAACGCCGTTTTGGATTTGATGAACTATACTGTAGTAACTTTGAAGGAAGTAGTTTCTGCCAGATTTTAATATGTTATACTTGATATCTGCCTAACAAAATATGTATTCTCAACTCCATCAGGGTATTGGGGAAGTACTAAAGTAGAAAGAAATGCTATACTTAAACAAATGGTCAAAATAAATAAAAATATTATTTAAATATTAAATAGTAACTAGACTCTAGCCAGGAAGAATTTCTCTGTCCTTTCTATTTTTTTTAAATAAGAGTTTTGTATTTCTCTCTGACCTCATTTTCACCATGAAAGAGAAGAGCGGAAAAATGGGGAGACAAACAAAAGCACTGGGCAGATGGCTGTGTCTCAGGTAGATAGGACTGAAATGGTAGAACAGGTGTGCAAAGCAGGAGGGACTGAGAACACCGAGTGTGGAGGGCGTGCGCCTCTGGGCGAGGCCAGGCAGGCCTGGCTCACAAAACCTCCAGGCTGAGCCAGATGCTTTGTTTCAAGCTCCTTCGAGTAGCTGGCTCTGCCTGCCTTTCTCCCCTCTCAGAAGGATACACAGCTTACACGCAAGCACACTTGGGAACAATTCCTGACAACAAGATTGGGTTCCTAGCTAATTTCCCACACATCTGGATCTGTCTTGAAATTTACACACAGTGCAGGTGAAGGACGGCTCTCCCGGGCGGGGGGCTGTATTTAGGACTCAGAGGGAAGTCCGGGACGTCGTGGTATCTAGCTGGCCCTGCCGCCTATCACTCACGTCTACGCTTATTTATATTTCCTGGAAAGCTGGCAGAAAGCTGCCCAGACACAACAGTGTCAGCTTATGCAAGACTACTGATAGCCTCTGCACCCAGAGTAACAACTGGGGAAGCGGCCTGTGTGAAGGACAGCCAGAGCTTGCTGTCGGGGGGGTCAGGCGAGCCAGCCTCGAAGGGGGCACTGTCCACTGAGGCCATGGAAACCCACTCCAGCCCACTGTCTTCCCTCTCAACCTTCCATGTGAGGTCCCTATAGGTCCTTCCCTCTCATCCTTCCATCCGAGGTCCCCATAGGTCCTTCCCTCTCAACCTTCCATGTGAGGTCCCTATAGGTCCTTCCCTCTCATCCTTCCATCCGAGGTCCCTATAGGTCCTTCCCTCTCATCCTTCCATCCGAGGTCCCCATAGGTCCTTCCCTCTCAACCTTCCATGTGAGGTCCCTATAGGTCCTTCCCTCTCATCCTTCCATCCGAGGTCCCTATAGGTCCTTCCCTCTCATCCTTCCATCCGAGGTCCCCATAGGTCCTTCCCTCTCAACCTTCCATGCGAGGTCCCTATAGGTCCTTCCCTCTCATCCTTCCATCCGAGGTCCCTATAGGTCCTTCCCTCTCATCCTTCCATCCGAGGTCCCCATAGGTCCTTCCCTCTCATCCTTCCATCCAAGGCCCCTCCTATTATCTCTCAGTTCCCAGACTAGGACGAGTTCTCTGACATCCCTGGGCTCCTGCTTATATTATTCCTTCTGATAAGAGCACCCCCCCCCATGCTTCCTACCTGGCAGTCTCCTTACCTCCCCTCCCTCACCCGGCCATCCTGATCCACAAGGCTGGAAAACCAGAGGCCCCCCTCCCACTGTATCCAGCCTGAGGAGCTCTTTTGTTTAGCCTGCAAAGTGGCTTCAGAATCACAAGACTTCACGTACAAACCCAGCTTGTTTTACAAACTGGAAGATGCGGCAATGCTGGGACCCACTGGGGCACGGCAGCAACCACCTGGCTCTGAGCAGGGCTGTCCCCACCCGATGAGGCGCAGCATGAAACTTCTCCCAGGTCTTTGCCGCCTCCCATTGTATTTGGGCTTTATGCCCCCGTACACTGTACCTTTTCTAAATCCTATTTTTATGCTAATTATACTCCCTTTACAATTACTTATTTGCTTGCCGCTTTTCCCTACTAAACGCGGGGTGAAGAGCCGTGTTCGTCATTCTTGGCGCCGCTCCTGCCTCACAGGAGAAAGGCTGGGCGAGCAGAAAGGCCGACCAAGGCAGCCTTGGGAGTGAGGGACGTGTCTGCGCATCTCTCCAGCGACCGGTCGCCCCCACTGCCCTTGTGATTGAAGGGACTGTCCTGTGCCTAACACACTTAACGGCAACTGCTGGGGTCAGCAAAAACCAGCTGGTATCTCTGGGTGCAGGCAATGAGGAGCCCGGTAGAAAGGACGAGAAACTCACCTTTGAGCGGGTACCAAGAGTATCCATTTGTAATCCCATTGGGAAAGTTCATTTTGCTTTTACACTGATCTCCTTTCTTCATGTTGACATTTCTGGAAGCGTAGGAATTGGCAAGATATTGAAAAACATCATCATCAGGGGTTAAGCTCCGGGAGTGCAATGTCCCAGTTGCTGTATGTGAACGACAAACCAAGACCTTTGTGTTGACATTAGAGGGAGCATGCAATAAATACCATGTTAGCAAATACATCGTCACATCACACAGAGGTCCTAATTTTCTAGAGAAGTCCTCTACCCACGTCCGTGAATGCTCCCTCCACTCTCCTTCCTAGTGTTCAATGAACATACACAAGGTGACATCACACAAAATGAGCCATTACATAGCCAAACCCCTCCTGAATCAGCTTAACAGTTAAATATCCTCTTAGTCACTCTTGCTAATTTCTGGAGGTCAACAGAGCTTCCTTAGGCGCTATAGGGGTTAAATGAAACCACTGTCCTATTTTAGGGCCTTGGTACATACCTCATCCTGGGGAGTTTTAAGAGCAGTCGGCAACTGTTACTCATGATTATCAAAGAAAGGGAGGTTGCTCTAGTTTTATTTGCTCTTAGCCAGGCTGTCTCTTGTGAGATCATCTAAATACCAATTTTACTATTTCATTGATGAATGTCAAGTAATGCTGTTGTTGCCTGTCGATTCAGCCATACGGGCCATCTACTGTTTGCAAATTGTAGCAGGATGGCTCAGGGTGAGAAAACGAGGCTCTTTCCGCCCCTGCCAGAGAAGTTAAGTGGGGAGGAGAGTTGATCCCTGATCAGAAGCAGAGAGTTTACAGTTTCCCTCTGGACGCAGAAAGCCAGCGCCGGCCCGGGTCTGCTTACCTGGAACACCATTATCAAATGGGTAACTGGCCACCAGGGCACCACCGTGGAGGTTTGCAGAGAGGACAAATGTCTCTGTTTTCAGCCACTCCATGATTGCCACAGTTTCAGGCTGCCTTGATACATTATTAAATTCAAAAGCATCGGGGAAATTTCTATTCAGGTCATAGAAGTTATTATTTTCCCTTTAAAAGAAAGAATTTTTTAGGGTTTACTGGTGGTATGTGAGGGAGCAGATTCGTGCAATGAGTAAACCTTTTGTTTGGGCTCCAGGTGATTTTCCAAATATGAATGCGGGGCTGGTGGATGGCTGCCTTGGCAGCCTCCAATGAACCACACCTGGCATTCACACCATATGCAGTCCCCCTCTCCTGTGACTTGCTCTCACCGATGGGACAGTAGCTACTGGGATGTAAGCAGGGGTTTGATAAGCGTTTCCATTTGGGGGCTTTAGCTTTTGGAACACTCCCTTTTGGAACCCTGAGATCCCAATGTTAGCCACGTGGAGAGTCCACACAGAGAAATGAGGAACCCAGGTGACAACCCAGGTGAGACTCCAGACATATGGTCCCAAGTTATTTGTCTCAGCCAGACTCCAGCTGAAGCCCCAGACACCATGGCACAGGGATTAGCCATCCCTGTTCTGTGCTGCCCAAATCCCTAATTTACAGAGTTAAAAGTAAATAAAACAGTCGTCGTTTTATGTCCCGAAATTTTGGGGTGGTTTGTTACAAAGTATTTGATAACAGAGACCACTGGAACATGCTAGTTTATACAAATGTATTTCTGAAAAGGGGACTGGCCATGTTTAAATATGCTAGGAAAACTTGAAGGGAATCATGCAGTGAGATTTTATTTATTTTTGGTAAAAGCAACCAAACTTTCAGTTGCACAAATATAAATGTATATTAGACATTTGAGAAATTCCAAACTTCCCGAGGCAGCTTGAAACAAAATAAACTGTTTAAACCAGAAAGACTACTTTCCATGCTGACGGCGCTCTCACAAACGTGGTGAGCGCCCCTAAAGCCCGCGGGACTTTCTGTGAGAAGCACCAACCCCCCAAGCCCACAAAGTGACACAGCGTGAGAAGGCCAAGGGTTCCTGCACGCGCAGGGACAGCGGCTTAGGACAGGAGGCAGAGGGGCTGAGGTGGGCAGACTAGGCCAGTTGTCCACAAAAGGGCTAAAATTACAACGAAGGTTGTGCTGAGGCCTGAATGCATTGAGCCCAACCGCTGGCCACTGGGATGCAAGGCAGCATTTTCAACAGGGAGGAGGTAAGAAGAGAAAGGGCCGAGTGATTTGCTTCTAAGCTGTCTTATTCTGAAGACAAAATCTTGAGGATCTGTTTATGTAAAGGAAGGATACCACAAGGCCCACTCTTCATTTTGGTTAGTTCTTGTACTGGCTTAATGAAGCGGGGGGCATTGTGGAGGCCCGGGCACCCCCTGGGCCCGGGGATTTGACAATGATGAACACGACGGGCGGGATGCCCGCCCTCAGGTAGCTTCCAGTTTAGTCTTTAAACAGGAAACGAGGCAGTGAGAATGGGGCGGGAGGGAAAAGTGCCAGGGGAACAGTGTAATAGGGGACCTGACAGGGGGCGGTTAGGGAAGGAGCCTTTGCGGACGTGCTGCTTGAGCAGCAGGAGGGGTGAGGGCGGAGCAGCGGCGAACGA